CATCGGGCTCCCTGCTCAGCGGAGAGTCTGCTTCTCCCTCTGACCCTCCCCCCTCTCATGTGCTCTCTCTCTCATTCTCTCTCTTAAATAAATAAATAAAATCGAAAAAAAAAAATTAAAAAAAAAAGACAGTTCATACTGGGACTATAAGACAATCAAAATCAAATTTAGAAGGTTTTTTTTTTTTTTTAAAGAGTTTTGCTGACTGAAAGGGGAAAAAAATACAATTACCTGATGCCTGGGTTCCACCCCAGAGATTCTGACTTAAGTGCCTGAGGTAGAAACCAAGAACATTTTTTTGTTAAGTTCCCCAGATAATTCTAAAGAGTAGTGAGGGTCGAGATGCACTCCTATGAAATCTAAAATTTGTTCCTTTATGCCTCATTGTTCTTATGTGTAAAATGGTAGCAATTATGCTTAGATTTATGGATAACTGAAAATCCTTCTGAAAGTACAATTCATAACTAAATGTTAAGTGGAGTCCTTTCTTTTTATTCTATCTTGGGTCACTGAAAAAATAAAGTCTGGCTTATTAAAACCACCTGATTGATAAGCATTAATATCCATATTACAGAGGGATATTTAAAATCCATTATAGGACAGCCAAACAAAAAAATCCCCAAACTGTAATCTTAATTAACCCACAATCAAATGCATACTAAAAATAAAGGTGTGAGTCGGAAAGATAACTGAGAGTAATAATACTTCCAGAAGATTGAGCTGTAGGTCCTCTGTGTATAAATCCTTATTTGTGGGCATGGCATGTTTTTCTCTATTCATGGAAATGAAAGGAGATCTCAGCAAAGTATTGAAGAGGTACTGTTTCTGTGCCTGCATTTCAATGGGCCCTGAGGGAGAGATCTGAAATGACAAATACGAAACTTCACTGTAAAATTACACTCAGTATGACATAAAATTTAGTATTAGAATCTCCTTAAAACGAAAAAAGTTAAAGCAATCACACCACATCCTGTAAACATATATTTTTCTTCTCCTGAAATGTCCTATTCAATCTTTTTTCAATTCTTTCAGGAAACATTCTATCATTGCCACTGAGGGGGATCAGGGCACGTCACCCCAAAATACACCACTTTGGCATAAGAACGATTTTGAGCCGAAGGCATCTGAGTTCTGAAATTGCTTATCTTCCTGAAAGCAGAGCCTTCCCCCAAAATTCAAAATCCCTGTCATAAATCCCCTCCCCGGGCAACTCTGCTCTCTCCAGGCACCACACTCAGCCCCTGCCACACACTATCACACCGCCCATCACTTCTCCTAAGGGCCCACTTAGCTTTCCAAATAGTCCCTTGCTTTCCCATAAGTGCCTTTCTCCTCCTCCCTCTCCCTGTTAAGTTAGGTGCACAGACCCCAAGTCCAACCCTCCTTTGAGTTGCTCAGGGCTGGGCACCATGTGAATGCAGGATGCACCTGTTAATAAGCTTCTGTTTTTCTCTTGTTGATCTGCTTTTGTCAGACCAATGTATAGGGCCTGGCTGGAGAACCCAGCAGGATAGAAGGAAAAATAATTTATTTTCTTCCCCTACAATACTTTGATATCTGACTTTTACATTTACATATATACATCTCTCTCAGCTTTAAAAAGCTATTTTTTTAAAATCTGGTAAAAAAAAAAAAAAAGTACCTGAAAGAGTCAAAGTTTTAAAACCCTTGGAGACTCTGGGTGTAGTCGCTTTAACTTTTCAAACTAAATATTAAAACAACAAAAACCATACCGAAGTGCTTATAGCATGACTGCTGTAAAGAAGAGAGTGAATAACGGCAAAATATCTACAGCAGGTCCAGCGATGCATTAAGATCAGCCTCCGCTCCATGAGGATCCTCACCAAATACAGTTTGATGATTCTATTTAACCCACTTTACTAATACTATTTCATCTTTTATCATCATTCCATTATTTATGTCTTACTAAAAGATAAATTTGAAAGACTAAAATTGTATGGTAGCAAAATAAATTCAAATTAAATTTTCCTACTTGAAAAGCTAACAGAGAACTACATTTTATAGTGGGGAAGGCTGGAAACACCTTATTGCTATTAATAATGGCAGATAAAATAAAGGAAAGGTGAGTTCTAAATACAGTACTCCCGAAAATTAATAAAGCATTTAACATACAACTGTGATAGATATATAAAGTCGTGTAGGCAAACACTGAGCAGTATCTCCTCAATTAGAAGAAAATTAGCTTTAGAAGCATCAGAGATGCAGAGCACTTCTGCCACATGAAAAAAAGCACATGAAAGACACAAAATATACTTATTACTTTTAGCATGTTAAAAACAATCACATCAAAAAAAGTATACAGATAAAAATGTCATAGATGACATAAGAAAATAGTGTGTGTATATATATATTTTGCATATATATATGTATATATATATATAAATCTACAGTATTTACCACTGTTGACACATATATTTTGGAGCAGCTCAGATGCTACTATCATAACCTAAATTATACAGCTTGGTTTATTACAAGTTCACAGAATCATGGTTTAAAAATTGGAATTAATATCCTCAGCTACATGTTTTATCTACATTTCTTTCTAAGCCTCCACACGATCTGAATCAAGAGCCCAGGGAGAGCGGGATTTTGTGTGCACTTTAGCATAGAGCAGTGAGCTGCTAACACACTGCCATTTGTTTTGCTGTTTAATAACATCATTACCAAGTTGATTAAAATTACATTAGACTCATTATATACATAAAAAATATTGTCACATTCGCTAGCTAAACAAATGTTACTCTCATTTGAAAAGACATACTTCGGTACCTTGAAAGTTTAAAGCCCCAACTTGCAACAAGAAGAGCCCTCGATGTTAGGTTTTCTACTCTCGTCCTTGCTCAAACCCGAGGGAAGTATGCTGAAAACCAGCTCTCCAATTAAACACAAAGTCAGACTTTCTGGGGGTGCCCAAAACTGTCCCCATGTTTTGCTAATTGTAGTGTAATAGACTATTTTTAAAAGACATTGTTAATTTTTTAACCATGAACCTGAATTTGTTTTCACTGCAAAAGAAAAAAAGGAGACTTTTGGAAGTATGAAAGTCATACTATTTTTTAAAAAAGATTAAAACCTTAGACTCCTATTAATAATTAGGATCATTTTTTTACAAGTTTACACAATGATAATTTAATGGCCTAAATGTAGCAATATCCACTGATTACCAACCTTTAAAGAAAGAGTGCCAGAAAAAGCTCATGTAAATGAACAGCCCGGGCCCTGCAGGAATTTAAAGGGCAGAAATAAGAAGTAACCATATTGTTAATCCTGCTTTCAAATGGATTTCAAAGGAGTCTGTTCTGCTGCCCCGTGTGAGTGCTTGAGGAGCCTAACTTGCAACCCCTCCTGCTAGCATCGACAAAGAGCAGGATTGCAGCACTTTCCCTGCATCTGGCAATGAACATTCTGCTCTGAGCTTCACAAGAGGCAGACCAGAACAAAGGGCACAGATGCACCAAAACTGCTCTAAAACTGATCTTGGGGTACGAGCAGCGCCCCACCTTTGGCCATGAACTTACTCCAAGTGCCCCAGGGTTTAAGCACCATTCAGTGGTGAGCCTTTCTCTCTCCAGTGTCTTTAATTTTCAGAAGAAAAGAAGAGGGCCACAACTGCAGAGAAGCTGCATGAAGTCAGGGAAAAACCCGATGGCACTCTAGGACCTGGGGGAAAAATATGGGGGCGGGGGGGAACTTGGCTGAAAGACAAGTTAAGGAAAGGAAGAAGAGTAAATTATTTCATGGATATAGATCAAAATTAATTTTGTTAATGTTCCTTTAGTTCTGTGTTCAAATGTGTGTACATGGAGGCCTTCTGGTATCTACTGAAAGACAGACACACTAAAGCCTTAAAAATATCTATTCTACACAGTTTTTCAGTGCTTTCTAATGTTACTCAAAACAGGATGGGCTAATGGCGCAAAAATGCTCAGGTTTTGGAGAAAGATATAAATGAAACCGAGTCATGAATTATCATTATGCGTGCATCCCTAAATGCTATTGCTATGTTTCCATGTTAAATTCTTTTTAACAGGTTCAGTGATGATGCAATTTAAAAATGCTCATCATAAGCAGCATCTACATGGGGATGAAACACTCCTATATATTCTTATTACTAGCATACACTGGAGTTGTGCAAGATGTTTATGGTTACAATAGTATAAAATACTGCTTTGGCAATTATAAACATAGCAATGTAGGTTTCAAATGGTTTCTATTCTCTTGTCTTTACCAAGTATAGATAAATTCTCACAGCAATACTGATTCTTGAATAGAAAGTCCATCCCGATTTCTGTAGTGATACACTGGAGGCGAGGGCCCTGAATATTGATACCCAGAGGAACTGGCATCTTCTAAACCTGGGGAAGTTCTATATCGCACTGGACTATCTACTGAAACTGCCGGGAGGCTATGGTCCTGAAAGGGAACATGCTGAAAGGCGGAATATTTTGGTAAATTGCTCAAGTGGCCACGGTTAGCATCCTGAGTCCACAACTGTCCATGAGTCTCGGGTCTGTACGTGTAACTAACTTCCGACCATTTTCTGTTGTCTGGCAGATAATCCACGGGAGGAATGACGAATTGTCCATTCTTTGGTGACTCTGAATTGCCTGCATATCCCCCGGCAGCAGTGTCAACGGGAAGAACTTCTATGCGGCTGGAGGGCAGCACAACAGGAAGCGGGCGGCTGTAAGATTTCTCTGGAGAAATATCGACTGACAGGGTAGAGCCATAAGGTCTCCGGGAAGGATTCATTTGAGTCCCATGGGTAAACTGTGGAGATGCAAAGCTGCTGTTAGCAGTAGGGATGCGTTTGGGAGAATTTCCATGGTAAACAGGGGGGTTACTGTAGGATGGAGGGTGCACTGTCCTGTGCTCCTCCCCATCTAACAGAGATGGGTATTTTGCATAACCTGCAGGCTGCACTTTAAAAGTAAACTTGTTTGATATTTTTGATGGACTAGAACCTGGCTCCACGTGCTTCCTCGGGCTGTGAGAGTAAACCATGTTCCTTGGACTCTGGGAGTAGGCTCTTTCTAGTGCCTCTTCAATGGAAACGCTGTTGTCATTTTCAGGTACGTTATCATACTGGGACGCAGTAGAGCCCCGTTTCCCTTCATCAGCATCCAAGACCTTCATCTTCTGCCTTACATTTGATACCCGAGTATCAGCAGAACTTGGGATGGTGACTGTAAGTGCGGGGTGTGCTGACCTATTTTTGCCTTCGATAACATATTTGGCAGTTTTTTCAATAGCTGAAATATCTGATGGCTTATTCCACTTGGGCACAAATTCCTTCCTGGTATTTGAAGTGGCATTGCTATTTTGGTTAGCAGCTGCATGATTATATTGCCTGGAACTGTCTTGTGGACCTGATGGAAGTTTTCTTTGAAGATCTGCTTCATCTTTAAGCTTTTTACTGTCTTCATCATCTGATTTCCGTCTTAGCGCCCTTACTCGTTCTGGTGTACCAATTCTACTCTGATGGTGAGGGGAATGCTCATGTTTTTTGTGAGGTGATGAGCCACTTTCTCTTCTGCTGCTCATATGGGGACTTGACCTGCCCACACTTCTTTGTCCATTGCTCAGGTGACTAATGCAAGCAGATTCAGGTGGAAGCTGTCCCAAAGGTTTCTTTGGATATTCATCCTCTTTACCTAAAGGGAAAGATAGATTCATAAGTAATATACATACAGGAGTAAACAGTATCAAATATAAGAACCACACCATGAACAACTGCATGCTTTTCACATGTGCACTCATATACATACATATACATATATATATATATATATATATATATATACATGCCACAGAATTTTAGGGGTTTAGAAGAAGCATTTTTTAGAGACACTGATACTAAAACATAGCAAAATGCAAAATCTTTTTAGACAGCAGGCAGGTGGAAATATTTTATGAACTTATGAGTAAGGTTTATACAATTATGCAACATGTAATTCTTATGTTTTCTTAAGATACATTGTTACAGGCTTTTTCAAAAATGCAAAGCTGATATTCTCATTTTTATTACTAAAACAATCGTGCAGGTCAGTAGTTCAATGTCTTACCATTACATTACTTTTGCTTTAACCTACCTCAAATAAAACGGTTTTGAAATCTCAGTAAAACCTCTCCTATCAAATTCAAGCAGGTCTGCCAAATTGAAAAGGCAGGTGATGACCAACTGTAGTCTCAAAGTTGTCCCAAAACAGCTTATTATTGTTATTATTACTAGTATTATTATCTCAAGTACCTGCCATAGTATAACATCATGATAAAAAGAAAGAGTACTCCATCTCAAAGTTAATAACTCTAAAATGATCCTACTGCAAATGCAAAAAAGGAAAAAAAATAATTAAAAAAGAAAAAGAAAGAAAATCATACTGGGTACTTTTAGTTTTATATTTTACATAACTTACATCAGAAAATTAATGAAGAACTAAAGGAAGGTACAATAAATTGGCCATTCAGTAAACAGCTTTAGGATGTCTGCTCTCACGACTTTTATTCAACACAATACTGGAAGTCCTAGCCACAGGAATCAGACAAGAAAAAGGAATAAAAGGCATCCAAATTGGCAAGGAAGAAGTAAAACTGTCACTATTTGCAGATGACATGTACTATATATAGAAAACCCTTAACACTCCACCAAAAAGCTACTAAAATGAATTCAGTAAAGTCACAGGATACAAAAATCAATGTACAGAAATCTGTTGCACTTCTATATACTAATAATGAAGCAGCTGAAAGAGAATTAAGAAAATAATCCCATTTATAATTGCACTGAAAAGAATACTTAGGAATAAATTTAATCAAAGGGGTGAAAGACCTGTACTCTTAAAACTATAAAACACTGATGAAAGAAATTGAAGATGACACAAAGAAATGGAAAGATACTCCGTGTTCATGGACTGGAACAACAAATATTGTTAAAATGTTTATACTACCCAAAGCAATCTACACATTTAGTGTAATTCCTATCAAAATACTAACAGCATTTTTCACAGAACTAGAACAAACAATTCTAAAATGGAACCACAAAAGACCCTGAAGAGCCAAAGCAGTCTTGAAAAAAAAAAAAACAAAAACCAAAAAACTCGAGGTATCACAATTCCAGACTTCAAGTCCTATTACAAAGCTGTAGTGATCAAGACAGTATGGTAGTGGCACAAAAACAGACACACAGACCAATGGAACAGAATAGAGAGCTGAGAAGTAAACCTACAATTAGATGGTCAATTAGTCTTCAACAAAGCAGAAAAGCATATGCAATGGGAAAAAGACAGTCTCTTCAACAACTGGTGCTGGGAAAACTGGACAACTATATACAAAAGAATGAAACTGGACCATTTTCTTACACCATACACAAAAATAAACTCAAAATGGATTAAATACCTAAATGTGAGACCTAAAACCATAAAAATCCTAGAAGAGAGCACAGGAAGTAATGTCTCTAACATTAGCCATAGTAACATTTTTCTAGGTATGTCTGCTCAGATACAGGAAACAAAAGCAAAAATAAACTATTGGGACTACATCAAAATAAAAAGCTTCTGCACAGCAAAGGAAACAATCAACAAAACTAAAGGGTAACCTATGGAATGGGAGAAGATATTTGCAAATGACATATCAGATAAAGACCTAGTATCCAAAATATATAAAGAACTTATTCAACTCAACACCAAAAAGAAATCATCCACTTTAAAAATAGGCAGAAGACATGAACAGACATTTCTCCAAAGAAGACATCCAGATGGCCAAAAGACACATGAAAAGATGTTTAACATCACACATCATCAAGGAAATGCAAATCAAAACTACAATGACATAACACCTCACACCTGTCAGAATAGCTAAAATGAAACACAATGAATAGTAAGTGTTGGCAAGGATGTGGGGGAAAAAAAGGAGCCCTCATGCACTGTTGGTGGGAATACAAACTGGTACAGCCACTGTGGAAGACAGTATTGGAGGTTCCTCAAAAAGTTAAAAGTAGAACGACCCTAAGATCCAGTAATTGCACTACTGGGTATTTACCCAAAGAATACAAAACCACTAATTCAAACATGCACCCATATGTTTACTGCAGCATTACTTACAATAGCCAAGATATGGAAGCAGTCCAAATGTCCACTGATAGATGCATAAAGAACATGTGGTAATATACATACATAATGGAATATTAATCATAAAAAATAAAATCTTGCCATATATAACAACATGGATGGAGCTAGAGTATGATGCCAAATGAAGTAAGTCAGAGAAAGACAAATACCATGTGATTTCACTAACATGTGGAATTTAAGAAAACAAAGCAGCAAAGGAAAAAAAAAAAAGATAGACAGACAGACAGACAAACCAAAACAGACTCTTAACTACAGAGAACAAACCGATGGTTACCAGAGGGGAGGTGGGTGGAGGATGTGTGAAGGGGATTAAGAGCACATTCATCATGATGAGCACTGAGTAATATATAAAACTGTTGAATCACTATATTGTACACCTGAAACTAATATAGCACTGTATGTTAACTCTACTGGAATTAAAGAACAAAACTTTAAAAGAGTTTTAAAAAATTAAAATGATTATAATGTAGATATCCAATAAATATCATCTTGAAAAAACAACAGACTTCATTTGTAAACATTCCATGGTTTATATTACAAAATAATATATTCTCACTTAACAATATGTTGTTGCTCTCTTCATATATCTACCCATGCATCCATCTACAATATTTACTGAGCTCGGCTTTAGGCACTGTGCTAAGTGATGCGTCCACGAGACATGAGCAAACAGACATTGTCTTTATTTTCATGTAGCTCACAGTCTTGATGGATGATAATTTTGTTATTTACTCACATATCATACTTCTAAGATATTTAAAAAAAATATTCAGTGAATTTTTCTTTTGGGGGGGTTAGAGAACAGAAAATGATGAAGAAACAATATCCTTTAAAGAGTTAAGCTATTGAATCAGAATTATTAAGCTTAAAATGACCTTTGTGCTCCTATCTTTTTTCTTTTCCTTTTTTTTAAGCAGGCTCCACGCTGGGCTGGGCGTGGAGCCCAACGCAGGGTTTGAGCCCACGACCCTGAGATCAAGACCTGAGCTGAGATCAACAGTTGGTTGCTCAACCGACTGAGCCACCCAGGTGCCCCAACCTTTGTGCTCTTCTAATCCAGTAGCTCTTAAACTTTTTAAAAGCAGACTCTTTTTTTTTTTCAAACCGAATTTCATATGAAGCCACAATATATAAAGAAAATGTAAACACAGCTGCTCTGATGAAAGTGGGAAGTCACCCTGTCTCCTCTTCCCTCAGCTGGGCAACTGCTCAGAGTCCGAGGGTTCAAGACCTAGTTCTGCCTGTATTTTAGAGTGGGAAGCAGAGTCTCAGAAAGCCGTGTGATCGGTCATGGCAGATGCTGAATGGGAACCAGGACCCCATGTTTTCATTCCAGTTCTGCCTTTTATGCCACATTCATTAAACTCCAGAGATATTTTTGAAGCACATTTGAAAGCACACACAGTGAACTGGCAATTACAGTTTGTTTCGTTCATGTACCCATTAATACATATGTATCGAGCAAATACTATGTACCAGGCACTGCTCAGGGTGCTGGCCATCCAGAGAGGACACAAAGGATGAAGTCCCTGTCCCCACGGAGCATATATGGCTGGTTGTGCAGAGCTAGGAAGACAGCTAGCATCAGGAGAAGACAAAGTGATCTGGGGTGGGGCAGGACCGAACACGGCAGAGTTCTGGCAGGAACAAAGGCACCCTGTGCCTTGAGTGGGAGACAGGAAGAGAACAGCCGGGGACGAGCCCGGAGGAACAGAAGAATCACATCACACAGGGCCTTGAAGACTACAATACGGACTCTGAATTTCTTTCCGAGTTAACTGCAACTCACGGAGGGCTTTTCAGCAAGACAGAAACATCATCTGATACCTATCTTACCAAGTTCACCTTGGTGGGTTGGACTTTGATTACGTAATAATTACTGTTGATAACAGTAACAGTAATAACTAATATTCATTACGCACTTACCACGTGTCAGCCACCGCTCAAAAAGCTGTACACACGGCATTTAGCAACAGGCATATAACTTAGGCCACCACTGTGACTCTCGTTCTACAGAGGAAACCAAGGCACCAGTGAACCTGCATAGGGGCTCCAGCTGGAAAGTGGCAGATGCACAGTTCAAACCCAGAGCTGATTCCAGAGCCCTCTGGATGGAACTCATGAGAAGGGGCTGCTTCTCACATACACTGTAAGGTCGGGTCCACACACTTGCTCATGTGCTAGGTGTGGGCTGTGAGGGATGAGCAGAGCAAAGGGTCTCCGGGATTAAAGACGGCACTCGATACTGCTCAGTGACAGCGGGTGCAACCAATATTGCTTTCGTATCTTTTTTTTTTTTTTTTAAGATTTTATTTATTTGAAAGAGAGAGACAGCACACAAGCGGGGGGAGCAGCAGAGGGAGAGGGAGAAGCAGACTCCCCGCTGAGCAGGGAGCCCGATGCAGGGCTCGATCCCAGGACTCTGGGATCGTGACCTGAGCCGAAGGCAGATGCTTAACCAACTGAGCCACCCAGGTGTCCCTGTTCTCATATCTTTTTATAAAAAAGACATTTTACGGTATGTGGACACGATATTTTAAGTGATAACCCAAC